TCGTTGTGGCTTTATAGCGTGTGTGTGTGTATCTTTGCATGTATATATGTATATTATAATGTGGTATTTCGGTGAAATATTGTTCTCTTGTTCATGTGTGGTTATGATGTAAGTTATATATATGTAAATAAATATATAATCAATAATTTCAGGCACAATTAGCATGCATTATATATTCAAAATAAAGTGTTTTCTTTTTTCCCCTTTCTTGCAACAATCTGCCGCCAAACATAGAAACCCTATCAAGTACCAACTTCTATCACAATAATATTCGAATTTTCTTGATCAAAATATATATATTCGAATTTTTGACCTGAAATTGCGGCACGATAAGTTATCTGGCAATGCATTAATACGTTAATAAGGTCTAGTGAACGGATATTATATATTGACATGAAATATGAACACTGAATTGATAGTTGAAAAGGTACATGAATTCATATAAGCGTGAGTGGAGTGCGCATTACACTCCTTAAAATTATTAGGAGTATATTTGATAACATATGATTCTTCTTAAAATTGCAAGAAAAAGACTTATATATAAAAAGAACATCATATAAACCTCAAAATTAGGTTTTGTAAAAAGAGCCTGATGGAGTAATATTTTGATTTTTGAAGTCGTGGTTATTTTATGTGTAAACTGCTCAGGCGATTCAGAAAAGAAAATCAAAGTGAATATGAATCAGTCCATGCATACATGCCTGGTAAGATTTGAAAATGCATTTTGTGAAAGAATTCTTTAACGACGCATTAAGGAAAAACTTCCTGATGAAATTCTTACTTTGCATGACATAGAATGTGTTAATTGTTCAACATTTCTCCTTCATCAGGTGCGGGGAGGTACCTACGTTTATGACAGAGGAGGGCAATTGCTCGCACTAATTCAAGAAGAAATTATTTAAAATAACCCTAAATTATTTTAGTTGCCCCTTTAAAAAATGTCACTTATCCCCTTATAAAAGTTTAGTTATCTCGTTATTTAAAATTTTATACATATGTATTTTATAAACTTAAATAGTAATAGTTTTAAAATGAAAAAGAAAAAATTAAAAAAAATTGCTTATGAAAAATTTTATCCAAAAAAAAATTTGTATATCAGTTTTATTTAATGAAAATTAAAAGCACGATTCTAATATATATAAAAAGAATATTTATATAAAGAGGTTATTTTATGTTATTATAGTGTTTTTTTTATGCACACTTTTTACTATTTAATTTTATCAATGTATATTATTAATAAAATTTAATAGATATTTAAAATTATTTATTTTAATATTAATATTTATTTTAAGTATAAATTATGCCCCCATTAATTTTTATTTTTTTGGGTCCCTCCGTGAAAATATGTTGGAATTGGCTCTTTCTAAGGAGAATTTGGCTTCTTAGCTAGCTAGAAATTCTAGTTCTAATTAATAAAAGAAAAAATATAATTTTAAATCTCCACATTTTACTCATGTTTTATTATTAGTCCCTACAATTTTTTTCTATGTTTTAGGTTCTTATGCTTTTTTTTTTTTTTAGTGTTTTAAGTCTCTCTCTAAATAAAGTGTAAGGACTTTTGAGAAACTCAGAATATTAAGAAAATAAAAATATAAGGATTTAAAATATTAAAAAAAGTATAAAAATTAATAATAAAACATGAGTAAAATATAAGAATTTAAAGTCATATTTTTTTTAATAAAAACTTAATAGGAATCTTTATTGTGAAAAAAGAAATTAATCAATATTCCTCAAAGTTAGGAACTAACAGACGTTAATTTAATTTGACATTGTAATTATTGGTGTAAGAGGTGTAAGAGGGCCCAAGACATGTACCAAGAGTAAAGCATAGAGAAATTAAAGCTCTAGTCCTGTCTGGATAATCAATAATGTGGCTTTGACGGATATGAAGTGGTCATCGATCAGGCTTATGGTACAGATCGAGCGTACGTTTTCACAAGGATCAGCCCAGGTCTTTTTTTTAAAAGCTGGCTGTGAAACTTGAGAAACTTCTTTTTGATGCATGGCGTTCCTAGACCTAGCACATGGAAAGCTGAGAATAAGTTCTGAACCGCTCGTTTAAACTTGTTTTCATGAAAGTCTAGACTTAAAATAATAATAATAATAATAATATTTTTAAAAAAGGCTGACTTTGAAGCCCAACCTTTATAAAATGAGCTTAGGTGGCGCATTTAGGCTTTTATTTATTTTATTCTTAAAAAATAAAAGTATTCTAAATTTTTAAATTGAATTTTAATTTTAGAATATAAATTTCTACTTTAAAATTATATTTTTTATTATTTATTTTTAATTTTAAACATTATAATTTATATTTAAAAAATATGAAATATTATAATTAAAATTTTTAATTTTTAAAAATTTAAAAAAATTAAAAAGGACTTACGAGCTCAATCTTAAGCTTTTTTAATGAAAGTTAGATTTTAAAAAATTATTAATTTTAGGATAATTAAGATTATGAGTTTGAGTCCATATAAACCCACCCTGCCTGTTTTCTTTCTAAAATATATGTGTGCATATACATTTAAGAAAAAATAATCTCAAGAAGCATTGGGGGCTTTTATTGCGATGCCTGAGGGTCTTTTTATCCCATTACTTCCTTGGAGCACTATTCTCGGCTTCCTTTCTTGTGAGGTAAAGCAGGCTTTTGAGGCCCATTTTGTTAGATACTGGACAACGCAAACCTTTTCCACTCATATTCTTGAATTATTATTATTATTATTATTATTGATCAATTATGATGCTTGCTTGATCCCCAGCAGCTGGATTAAAAAGAAAATAAATAACTAACAATAAAAATTAGTTTAATTAATAAGAATTTGATTCATAATCAATAAGATCATATGATCAAATTACGCTATTGATATAAGTTTTAGAACCCAAATCATCTAAATTTTCCTTCATTAAAAAAAAACTGTTTCAATTGTCATTTGAAAGTGTTGGCCCAATTTTTGGTGTAAGGGTCAAAAGAGTTGTGACCCTTTTGGGTGTTCAAGTGTGCTAAGCGTGTCCGAGGAGTATGTTCTCAAAAAAGTATAAGCCATTATTAGATGATTGAAATGAGTTTTTAAGATCCTTTACCATAATTTTCTTAAAGAGTTAAGTGACTTGTAAGAATAATAATGGATTCACCATAAAAGAGCATAAAACTTGATGGTATTACTTGAAATAAAAAGGTAAATATAATGAAGAGTTTCGTGAATACAAAGAAGTAAACAAGTTCGGGAAACTAGCCTAAGGAACTAAGTTTTTACATACAAAAAGTTAGTTGTGCAAAGTGAGGTTGAAGACAACACAAAGTTGGAAATTGAGTAATCGTGCTGGGTAAGTGTAATATAAATTTGGCAGAATGTTGAGTGTCTTTCAATTTTATTTTTTGCCTATTTATAGCAAAACGACAACGATATGCTCCTTTTGAATTTTGATGTTGGCATCATTAAAAGTAAATAGTTGTACACACCTCCGACTCTTCGGAAGAGCTCCATTATGCAAAGTAATGGATGTAGAAGAGCTGAGAATCTCGAATAGTGAGAGGAATGGGCACAACCCTATTAAACCTTTCATAAAAAATGCACCATCTTACTTATTTTTGCAAAGCTGGATCACAATTAGGCTATTTTTTTTTATTTTGGTTTGGGCTTTGAGAATCTTTATAATTCAGCCTAACACTCCCATTTTTGTTCAAACAAAAAGCTTGTTATGTTTTTATTTTGATAAAATTTCGTTAAAAAATCTTATTTTTTTGAGAAACAAATTATTAAAACAAACAGCTTATATCCTGTCGTTGACCTTGTAGACAAAAACTGCTATGCCCCGAATTTTAGGCCAAAAATCATCAATTGAGCTTCGAGTTGTCAAATAATTGCAGTCTAAATACTGTTCAGGATCGATGACGTGGCATAGCAGTTGTTGAACTGTCAGATATCCCGCGAGTGTAACGGACTAGCTTGGTAATTTGGGACGAAGAAAAGGGTAAATTGGCCATTCAAAAAGTGAAAAGGACGGTTTTTATGAACAAGAAATAAAAATTACTATTAAAAATGAATCTGGATAGTCAAAATCAAACTTGGCATCAAATATAAATTGGATAATCTTCTATATATTCATTGTAACGTAATTATGAGCACGGCAGCGCTGGTTAGTGGTTACTAACCAGCGTCGGTCCAACAAAAAAAAATTCAACACCAAAATTGGACCATTTGGTTGGTCAAAGTTGCCAGCAATAGAGACAAAGACTTTGACTTGTGAAAGAGCAGCGACCTTTGTGGCAAGTGGGGGATCTTTGAGTGGAGTGACGTGGCATTATACCGACAGTTAGATCCAACGACTTTATTTGTGAGGCAACGGTTCATTACTCCTTTTTTTTTTATTTTTAATTGTAACACTAATTATAAGATATATATATATATATATATAGTTATCAATGCTAGTAATTCAAATTAAATTTTAACATTCAAATTTCCCTATGAAAAGTATAACTGCAGATTGAATTTCATGAAAAATGAATCATGATAATTTTAAGTCAAAATCCCAATAACATAATGCTATATACATAAAGTCTAAAATAGAAGCATTTTCTTTCAACTAATTTTAATTTAAAATATAAACAAGTTAATATATATAATTTTTTTATTTTATCTCTTGTATTTATTAATTTAAATATTTATATAAATATATCTCACACTTAATAAAAAATAATATATTTTTATAAAAATGATGATTTTATTGATATATACACACACCAATTTGTCTACAAAAATTGTTTATATTTTGAAGGAAAAGAAGTATATACTCAGCTCGGTGTTTGGCTGTTGCTGCAAGTATATTACCCCAACTATGAGGCTAGAAATGAGCCACACTTAAGACGGGGCAGGACAATAGCGTACTCGGTTATCCAGATTCCAGTGGATAGCTTGCTTGTCCCCATTCCATGAACAACTTGTGCAGCAGCATTCCTTTCAAAATTAACAACCAAATATATCATACGAAGAAAACTTTTGAGAGAGAGGAAAATCTTTTTCATTAATTCCTTTCTGGGAAAAACAACTGCAACATTAATACATCGTCTCGTGCAGTAGCCTTTGCTTCGTTTGAACACAAGACAGTATTCAAAAGGAGCCGCGATGTCTATTTCATCGGCTTACAAGCCACGGAAGATCCTCCGTGAGAGGAAACTCGTACAGCAACCTATCAAAATCTTTAAAAGACGTCGTCGTATTCTTGCTGAGTGTCTTGGAAGACAGAGAATCATCTCCTTTACTACTCCGATCATCGTCGCGTGACCCGTGATCGTGAAACTGAAAATCGTCGTCTGATTTCAGCGAAGCAGCGAGTGGCAATTTCTTCGAGCCGTCCCCTACCCAGGCTGTGGATGAGTTCTTCCCCGTGAGACTCTGAACCACGTCTCTGAAGTTCATAGCATCGGTTTGGACGTACCTGGTTTCAATCTGAACTATCTTCACACCTTCACGCTTCCCACTACTTTCCATCTCTCTTTCTGGTCTCAGCATATAATATTTGGCCAAGTGTGTGATTTGGAGTGAGTATGTATAGCAGTGTGTGTATATGGTGATGGAAGCGTAGGGGTAATATATAACGGAAGAATCTGAATCAGGGCAGTCGTAAGAGACTGGTCGGGGGCGCATTGGCAGGAGTCTAAGTCAAAGGCCAAAGCCCGCAACTTGGAATCGTATATGGTCAAGTTCAAACACATGGCTATATATAATAAAATGCGTTACCGAGAAAACGATATGATGAAACAAAATAATCAAACCCGCCCAAAATGTAACGGCTCGATCAGACTCAGTATTGTCTACTATTCTAGAGTCACGTGCCTTGAAAATTTGTTTACTTCCTGGCTCGTGCCTCGACAAATTTTGTCTTTCTCTGCCTTCTGGAAGCAAATTAATAGATCAAGGAATCGCATTTGGTGGAAGATCTTCAATTAGCCATCCCCTATTAAAAATTAATCTATAACACGTGTTTTAAGTATATATGCTTGTTCTTAAAAAATTAATAAACTATAGCTAAAACAAAAAATATTTATATTGTTTTCGAATGATTATATGTGATTTTTAATAATTTTGTATATGTATCATGTAATATATTTTGCACATAATCGGTCCATTTATTTTAGAAAATTGAATAAGATATGACAAACTCGTATTATAAAAAAAAAGAGTATATAAATGTATCTAATAAACGTATTTTCTTGGTGATAATGTAAAATACAATTATATACTTCCCTGTTCCCAAATATAAGACATATAGTTGAGACTTGAGAGTTTTTTGTTTTGATCTTAAATCTAGGACCTCAATTTTTGCGGTCGTCTCTCCCTCGTTTAGTACCTTTTTAGATTATCCTTATTAATTACAGAGTTTTTTTTTTCACTCTTTCTCTGTCTCTCACATTTATTACTATCAGTAAAAGGGTATTTTTGGAAAATCAAGGCATATCTGTAGACAATAATATCAAATAACCAACTTAATAAATTTTCTTAATCTTTATTAATTAAGTAACAACTAGGTCTTATATTTAGAACTTAAAGCTTGAAGGAGTGTATAGTAAAACCCCGTAGCTTATTTTTTGAAAGGGTGTTTGATGATGATCGATGGCACAATGAGGACCGTGAATATGTTCTGGAAAGTAGGAAGGGACAAAGCGAGAGAAATTTCAACAGAAGGGACCATGAAGAAGTTGACTGGAGAAAATTAAAATTAAACAAAGGGGTTAGGTACTTTTATGCTGGAGTGTGTGTGTGTGAATGATCAATAATGAATCCAATGAGGACTTGTTCACGCATACAGGCTCAAAGTTTAGCACGCCAACCCGTTCTTTTTTTTTTTTTTTTTTGACTTCCTCGATTTCAATCTACGCAATCGCATGTCTGTGTAAATTAGGATAGTCGTCTTCATTTGGGATTGCTAGAAGAGGAGCCACCACCAGAGGGAGAGAACTAAAAGATAAATAAGAGTGTCATATATCTCAACCCAAAATGTATGACTGCTTAGAAAGAAGTAGTAGAATAACATCACATATCTTAACTTGAAACTTCAAAGTTTGAATTTATAAATATTTTTTCTTTATTTTATATTATTTATTAGTTTTAATTTTATCCAATATAATTTTTTAACATAAGCTTAAATCCATTCGCAGTTAAAAAAAATTAACATGGAAACTATGATCCCAACGTCCAATCCAATAATAATAACAACTAAATAGCTGTATGATGTGTGTTTGGTCACTTTGACTTCCTCATGTTTACCAAAGTTCATTATATATACAACACTCCCTTGATTTTTTTCACTATTTTTAATACATCTATCTAAATTTAATATCTGGTGTACGTTATTGATAGTCAATACTCAAATAAATCTTGTAAAACTGAGCTGTTTTTAATTAGTCATATGCCCTAGAGTTAGTTATAAAAACACACGCAAGCGAACTCACGCATGTGATTAGTAATTATTTACACAAATATGCTAACCTTGTTTTTTAATTATAAGAATAAAATTTGGACGATTTGCTGTATCAAAAAAAAAATTGGACGATTTGGATCTTATAGGCTTGCCGAGGTAGCCTCGCAAGATCAAGAAAGGTTTACAAATTTAAATTTGCTTTGATAAAAGTATGAGTTGCATGTTTGACACGCGAAACAACCTCCATCGCCATTGCCCTTTTTAGATGTCACTCGGCAGTACTAGTAATTAGTAAATAGTAGCAATCAACTAATTAAACAGTATCGTTTGTCCAACCAAAAAACTAAACAGTATGGAATTGAATAAGAGAGAAGAGAGAAGAGAGATGAGAGATGAGTGGGAGCGGGAGCGGGAGCGAGAGTGTGAGGGGAGTGCATGGCGAGAGTTCATGTGGGAGTTCGAAAGCTGGTAGTGTGTTCACGTCGGTCAAAGGGGTGGTTGAAGACAGTCAAGGTTTATCCAAGGATGAAGAAGATGCGATTGCCCGGAGTGTGAATAAAGCACATCATTACACTAATGGGAAAATGGATAGGATAGAGGAAATACAGACTCATCCTGAAGGCAGCAGAATTAAGAAAACATGGTCCCAAGTTTCTATTAGAGATATACTGATTGAAAAAGACTGCATGGATGTGGAAGAAGACTTCAAAGCTTTATTTCAGAGTTGGCTTAAGGAAGAGGATGAAATCTCCCCGGTATTTTTAGAAGCCCAAAAGACAATTCTCAAACAGATTTTGAGAATTGATATGCTATACGATCAGTGGAAGAAGTTATGCCTACTATAAGGTTTCCCTTACTTAATCACATTTAACTCCATAACTAAGATAATTAAAGAATTACCAAAGTTGTAAAATTACATAAAAGAGAAAAATTTTCAAATCATTTACAGTAGATCTCAAAATTCAATATCTTCAATCTTAAACAAACATTTGAAATACTCAAATCATAGTTTTAAAACAAGGCGGAAGCTTAAATATTTTATGGGACCCAAAACAATGAGTTTCAAAACTCAAAATAGTGTTTTATATAGAAAACAACCCATGCACCGCGACTTACGGTATATGTGCCACGGCTCACCCACCTCTGTACCATACACCGTAGCTCATTTTACGAATTTGACAGCAACAACTACTGTCATTTAACAATAGTGGGAGCGAACTTTTGACGAATCTCAAATCTTCGTCTGACGTTCAATTGAGGTGATTTTGATGCCCACATGGAGCTTTCTTCTAGCTCTATCTAATGGCATAGGTTTCACACTCAAATTTTTTTTTTTTTTTACAAAAAGTTGGACACCAAAACCCATTTTATCACTTTTTCACAAAAATCTCACATTAATGATGTTCCAACTCAATCACAAGTGTTAAAAGCCTACATCAACCCTTCAATTACACTTGATGGATTCTAGCAGACTCATGCAACACACCATACATGACCAAAAACATATATTTCTCAAAATTACTATTCAACCCTAATTTTCATAAAACATAAGGGAGAGGAAAATCATGCACAAAACCATCCTTTTCATTGCAATTCTCTCAAAAAAATACATGTCCTTACTTGCACAAGTATTTTGGCTTTATCCACAAGTTTACAACTAAAACTTACTAACCTGGGGCACAAAATACACAAGTTGTACACTATAATAATGCAAATAGTACAAAATAATGACATGTGATCCTAGTTGGCAATTATACAACATTAATATACAAAAATAGAGTAAAGAGGTATAAAAGTAGGATTTCATCACAATTCTACGACTCAATGTGTTTTCCCTGAATTGGATCTGATGAGTTAGGTTCTGAAAATATTGAGAATTAAGGGATAAGCACAACCATTCAGTAACCAAGTTTTACCTAATCTATACAGTTGCATATTATAAAGTCCTGAATAAATTTAGGCTTTACCATTCCCATCACATAATCAACCAACATAAAAAATAATAATATCATAGTAATAGCCCTTTATTTGTTTTCAAATCATGAGATTCCAACTTCTTAAAATATATATTCAAATAAGAGGGCTAGTGGAAGTGTAAACGCATTTATACGACTAAAAGAGGCATAAATTCTCAACCCTGAAAAAGGGTCATGAGCCACGGCGGACAATGCATGCACCACAGCATATGACACAGAGCCACATGCCTGACTATCTATGTCATGCACTGTGGTATAAGACACCATGAGCTACAGCACACTAGTCTGGATTTTCTATTGTCATTTATTAGCAAAAATGATGAACTTTCGGCTGCATAGTTTTCACATTCGATGTCTGATTAGAGTTATTTAAGTGCCTACGTGAAGATTATAATGTATACTAGCTAATGAAATAAGTTTTAACTTGATATGATGGTCCAATCTAAAATTGGACATCAGGTGCAAAAAGTCACTATTTCTTTCAAAACTGACACTCTAAATGCTTAATTCTTATTCATTATCCCAATAGACCACTTCGGGCTTTGAACTAAGTCAAAAATGATCACATATACCTGATTGACAATACATAACACTAATATCACATCATTTGTCCATTTTAGCCTCTCAAAGTCACATTACACAATTGTGAACTTATATGAGGAATACACATATACAACACATATTCACATATACAACTAGACTTATTTCACTTTCAACCCTCCGACTCTTACATATGTGGCTCCGCCTTACCATACGGTTAGGAATCACATATGTACTCGATTCTTCTAAATGGAGCTTTACCTTACCATTTGTGTCAAGTTCCCACATATTTACACAACTCACATTCAACACATAATCATTACATCAATTCACATATAAACAAGTAGAACAAGTTATAAAAAATATATATATTTGCTTGTTTCACATTCAAGCCTACCCACCTACCCTCCACTAGGGCACCCTCAGCATAATGCAATGCCATATATATATATACAAGTAAGTTGTCACAACACAATTCACTTTCTCATATTCATATATATTTATGCATCTTAGTTAGCAACTTAACCAGATCAATACTTTATACATTTATTTACACTAATGGTAGTCATACTACTACCAAGTGAAGCTACTCTTTCTTTGCTTCCTTTCCCAACCTTCTCACACTCTCTTCACCTGTGTTTAAAAGTAATGGAGTGAGACGTACGTCCCAATAACTCAGAGATAACCGCAATTACTAGTTAATAAGCAAAATTATAAATAAGCGACAAAGT